CAATTAAAAAGTATCAGCCAGAAGGTTAAGTGATTAATTATTTTCAGCCTATGGTTATATTTTACCGGTTAAGTTTGTTATAACTACATACCGCCCTAAGGTGTTTAGCTACTCATCGATGTTGAACTAGACAGAGACAGAGAATTTAATAATAACGTACTCATGGCAGAAAAATAAATAAACATTATAATTAAATTAAATTGCAATATAATAAAAAACCTGGTTAACAAATATTCGGGCAGACTCCTTCTTCCACAAATCGGAAAGCTTGGAGTTGGCGGAAATTGAAAATAAACGAATGCTGAAAGTTTAGAAACAAATAAATGTATAACAATTTCCTGATGTTGGGAATTGTTATATGGTTGGTTTGGATACAAATAAAAACGAAACAGAAAACTAAAAATAATGCGGGAATAGAAAGGCTGGTTCGTAATACAGTTCGGCAGAGCTTCCGCAGGAATTTGAATAAAGAATGCTCTCTCTTGTTCATCGAACTTGTACTATTTATAGAGTCCTTAATGGGCTGGATTTTTGGACCTTTGTTGCACGGGCCTTGCTGAATTTGTGGAAGGAATGCAGGAACGTGGCAACAAAATAGGAGGAATGGTCTTCACGTAATGCCAATAGGAGAAGTGGTCTTCACGTAATGCCTTGACGTAGTCTGAGTCAAAAACCTAATTTTACCCTTGTCACGGTCGTGACAAGGTCTTCACGTTCGTAACTTGTGGTTTTTAAGTGTCACGGTCGTGACCACTCTCTTACGGTCGTGATGGCTCAAATTGGGGTGTCACGGTCGTGACACCCTTGTGACGACCGTGGCTGCAACAAATTATGCAGTCTTTTGCAGGCTTCTTCATTTCTTCATCTCTTTATGGTTTCTTTTGTTCCTTTTACTCTTAATTCATGATTTAGCTCCATATAATGATGTGCCTGCAAAATGGTAAGAAAAACTCGAGAAATCGAGTGTTAAAACGGTGAATATGCGATAAAACGTTAATGAAACCTAGCAATATAATCGATGCGTTTTCTCGTTATCAATCTTCTTCCTCGTCTTTCTGCATTTTGTAAGTATTGTTGTTTGAAATTATTTTCAAAAATAATTTCTTCTTCCTATCTTTCCTCGTCTTCGTGTGTTTTGTGTCTTACTTTTTTTCAAAAATGATATCTTCAAATTCATCTTTCTTCAACAAAAGACGGTTTTATAATACTTCTAAAGCTTTCATTGATGTATGCATGTTTAATGGTTTTTTGGACTCATTATTCACTTCATTTGATTTTCGAACAGGTTTACAAAGGAGTTAAGTATTCAATTTTTCAACCAACCTCAGATAATGTTTATTCCTTCTTGATCTTCTCTTACATTTCTATTTGTTTATATTTATTATATGTCTTCTTAAATGTTTTTTTTGTTTGTGTATGATGGAAGAGTTGTTCAACTGAATATTGTCTATTTTTGTGTTTACACTACAAGAAATATTGTCTTTTCCCAAGTGATATTCACGTCACTAATGTAAAAATCACTTCACTAGCCAATGGTTGCGACGTGGGTAAAACACGCCGGAAATGCAATGGTGGGAACTTTTTCCCACGTGGAAAACACGTCACAAAGTTGTGACAGAATTACCACGTCGCAAATCACAAAATAAAGAAGAAAACTTCCCACGTGAAAACCACGTCACTAATTAGTGACGTGAAAGTCATGTGGGAACTTACCTTTACCAAATTGCTCTGCACGCTTGCCTGACACAAAGTAAATTTAGTACCCATGTGATTCCCACGTCACAAAGTTGTGACCTTGTTATCACGTGGGAAACCTCACAGAATTAATACTTTTCCCATTTTTTCCCACGTCACTAATTAGTGACATGGGATCCACTTCACTGTTAAATTTAATTATAAAAAGAAATAAATAATATTAACTGAAAACAACGTTAAAATTAAAAGAAATATTAAATATTAAATATAAATTTAAAATTAAAATAATTTTTAATTAAAATAATATACATTAAAAATATATAAATATTTAGTCACATGAAATTCACGTCACAAATACAAATAATAATAATAAAAGTTGTGACGTAATATTCACGTCACAAATAAAAATATTAATAAAAAAAATTATTCTTCGCCACTAAATAATTCATCTTCACTTTGGTGATCATCTTCGGGAGAATAATTCGATCTCGAGGCAAAATATTTTCGCATTTGTGCCTCCATGTCTGATTGCCGCTTCCTCATTTCCTCGATTTCAGCATTTTGTCTATTTCTCATATCATCCATTTCGGCCTTTAGGGCCGCCTCACGTGTCTCCGCCTCTCATCTCGCCTCAGCTAGAGCTAACTGTCTCACTGTTGCCAACATTTCTGGTGTCAATTCTGTCGGACGCGATCCTCCTTCCCCATCATCGAGTCTCTGAAATAAAGTTCGGTCCCCTTTTCTATAATCACCAGCCAAAGACCCCAGACCAAAAAAACATCCATTAACTCTCTTCCCGCCTACTGTTAAATTCTAAATATAAAGATCAACGCGTGGATCAAGCGGTGCATCCCCAATCGGCGTATATTGAGGATTTTCAGTTAGAAATTGGGCAAGCAATGTCTGGTACAACTCCTACACACACATTAAAAAAAATTAAATTAAATATAATTTAAACAATTTAATTATATAGTAATTATGAAATTAAAAGAATTCAACTATAATAAACAAGTTACCAAGGTTGATTTGGAACGACCGTCAACAAAGTCGCCCGATTTTTTGGTTCGGGTCTTCACAAATAGCTCATTAATTCGTGGCTCCCTCCCCAAGTCCTTTTTCTAATTAAAATAATGAATCTTAATTAAATATATAATAATACAAGAAAAACTTAAAAAAATAGTTATAATTACCATTCGTCGACGATGTTCGCCGATACTGATACTTCCAACTGTATTAAGACAGCCACCTGCTTCAGATGCCCTCATCTTTTTAGCATGTTCAGATCTTCTCTGAAAATCTTCTGTCTTCCACCACTCAACAAGTTCACCAAATATTTCCTCGCCTATCCAGTTAGGACGAGTTTGATCTCTTTCCCAACGTTGTCTAGCATTCCTAAGCATGTCAGATAATCTGCTAGATACCTTACTTTTGAAATTTTTTTTAATTTTGAACTCGTCAAATTTCTGCCAAGTACACCTTTCCTGCAAGTTATATGACAGTCAAATAAAATGTTAGATATATATATAAAAAAATCGTGATAAAATAACATAACTATAATAAAAATACAATTTACCTTGAATTTATCAAACCATATATCTTTCTCATTATCTGGGAGCTCTCCGAAAGACTTAATGAGTTTTGTATACATCAATTGAATGACCCAGTTTACAGCTTTAGCAGCAGGACGACACGGATCAAAACTAAACAACAATAATTTGAACGAGTATTAAACATAAAATGACAATATATAGCTAAATAAATATTATAAATTAAAAACATACCCAGATCCCTCAGGCCTAATCAGATGTCGTCCTTCAACCACCAAATGCCCCTCTGCAACAGGATTTGTCTGCTCCTCATGAACATCGTCATCCCCCTGAACAATGTGGTCATCCTGCTGCTGACGCGCAGGTATATGTGTGGGGTGTGGAATGCGGGAGCCAGATCCCTCTGGCTGGGGCGTGGAGGGTGTCGACTGAGGAAAACTAGATCCTAAAGGCTGCGGCGTGAAGGAATACTGCTGAGGAAAAACAGATCCCCCAGGCTGTGCGAAGTGAGTCTGCTGAGGAAAACTAGATCCCCCAGGCTGCGGTGCGAAGGAATACTGCTGAGGAAGAAAACTAGATCCCCCAGGAAAACTAGATCCCCCAGACTGCTGCGTAAACGTAGATGGTACCCCAAGCGGATGCATGAAGGATCCCCCAAACGGACTAATAAACGATGGATTCCCAGATGGAACCGTTTGGGAGGAGGAGAGTAATGTCGTAAATGGCTGTGAAGTGTCTACGGACATTAGATCTGCCTGAGACTGTGGGCGAGAAGCATACATGGGCGAGGGCGGTACCTCACGTACTCTGGCTCTCGAACGAGGCTGGGTCTCCTTAGCCTTACCCTTGTCAGTTCGGGGTGGCATTGTATCTATTTTGAAATAGTTATCAATAAATAAATAATACGTAAATAAATCAAGAAGACTCTTCATGCTCTTCGTAAATAAATAATACGTAAATAATACATTTGCATTCATATAAAACAAATAATACATTAATAAAAGATGCATGTATTTGACCGGTAGTTGCTTGTTCACCGGTGCTTTGAAAATAGAAGGCGTTAAATGCCCTATAAAGAAACACATTTTAAGTTAGATGTAATAATTCAATTTGTAAAGCCAGATAAGTAGATACGTTAGGGGTATACTTACTCAAGATATGGCCTAACTTCAATACAGTTAATAAGAACATGAACGTGTGCAGATTGCAATTCTTTTTGGGTCAGCCAATGCACATTCTCCTTTCCAGAGGGGCGACCGGGAAGACCGAAGATTGACAAGATAAACTGACTTCTTTTGTTAACATCAAATTCATTCCTTATGATTCTTGGAGTTAACATCAAATGATTGAAATAATGACTGCAAAAATGTGATGTTTCCCGATGCAAATAATGTGCACATATTGATCCTTCAACTTTAGCTTTATTTTTCACTGATCGCTTTGAATCACCCATGAATCTTTCAAAGGGATACATCCACCTGTATTGAACGGGGCCACCAAGATAGGCTTCATATGCAAGATGCACAGGTAGATGCTCCATAGAATCGAAAAAACCAGGTGGAAAAACGCGTTCCAACTTGCATAGAATAACTGGAATATTTTGGTCCAACTTAATGATGTTATCGACTCTTAAAATTGACGCACAAATATCTCTGAAGAATTGACTTATTTCAGTTAGCGGATATAGCACATGGTTGGGTAGTGAACTGAACGCAATTGGAAGCAATCGTTCCATGAAAACATGACAATCATGACTTTTCATTCCATGCAACTTCCCAGTTTTGGTGTCAGCACACCCAATTTTGGGTAGTGTACCCTATCAAAATGTTTCCATGCCTCACCGTCAGATGGATGCCGCATAATGCCTGAAGATGTTTTGTTTGTATGATGCCATGTCATTTGACTTGCACTATGCATTGAAGCAAACAATCTTTTTAACCTTGGTATTATCGACAAATAAAACATGGACTTCACTGCTACACGTTTTTGTTTACGGTTAATGGCTTTACTACGAACTTGATATCTCGGACTCTTACAGAACTTACATTCCTCCAGCGCCTCATCATTAATACCAAACTCATTGTCATAAAACAACATACATCCATTTATGCAATAATCAATCTTTCGCACTTCTAAACCCAACTTCGACACCAACCTCTTTGCATCATAATAACTTGTAGGCAAGTTGTCTTTCGTAGGAGTCGCATCCAACATCATTTTTGCAAAGTATTCCAAACACTGATCAGGAACATTCCAATTTGACTTTGCAGCCAATAATCTCACACACATTGATAATTTTGAATCTGCCGACCCCTCAAACAACGGTGTATTCATTTCTTTCAACAATTGGTAAAATCTTTGTGCTTCCTCATTCGGCAACTCTTCACCATCAAAGTCCTGAGGTTCATCATATGTCACATTTACTCCAAATGCATTACCAACCATTTCATCGATCAGATTAAATTGTTCATCAAATTCCATATGTGATCGACTGCTTGATGCGTCTGTATTAGTTGTCTCTGCATGTACGTTACTCGGCAGTTGTTCTCCATTATATGTCCAAACCCAATAATTTTTAATGAAACCCTTCCTCTTCAAATGACGTTCTACTTCCTCTGGGTCACTAATTATACGTCTACATTCACATTTAAGACAAGGACATCTCACTCCTCCCTCACGTCGACAACATTCTTGTGCAAATGCCCACGCGATAAACCCCTTAACTCCTTCCTCAAAATTTGCCGTAAGTCCACGTCTGCCTGGTAACGTTCTATCGTACATCCAAGTACGATAGTAACGAAAATATTCCATTCTGCAGAAATTTGTACTATCATTATATAATATAAATTTATATATATTATTTTTCTATTTCAAGACCAACTTAATAAAATATGTAATTTAAATCTTTTTTTTTCTATTTCGACACCAACTTAATAAAATATGTTCACTAAAATAATATAAATTTATTATTTTTAAAGTATAATATATATTCATTATTTTTAATGTATAATATATATTCATTATTTTTAAATTATAATATATTCATTAAAGTATAATATATATTCACTATAATTTTATAAAGTATAATATATATTCATTATTTTTAAAGTATAATATAAATTCACTAAAATAATATATTATACTAATAATAACATATTTAAAGTATAATATATATTCATTATTTTTAAAAATCTGTTTTTAATAATTGAATGTGTAAAAATAATGTAATACATTTAAAAATAACACTTTTTAAATATAATACATATTCTTTATATTTTTAAAAAATATATATTAATTTTTTCTATTTACAATATTGTTTACTAAAAATATTTTTTAAAATTCTATTTTTTCTAACATAATAAATATTCTGTTTTTAAAAATTAAAAATACATAACATATTTTTTTTTTTGAATCAAAAATATCATTAATCCAAAGTCAAGAACAAAACAAGGCGATCAAAATCCAGCCCAAAACAAAAAGACCTACTGAACCATCAAAAGAGCTATATGTGGTCTAAGCTTAGGGCTCGACCACCCTCTATAGACTATGTTGTTAATAATTCTATCTGTACAATTCCTACTGTCATTTCTCTGATTAAAACAAATGTCATTTCTAAACCTCCACACCTCATGTACCGTTTCAGTCAGAGCTAATCTAACAAGATCGGCTTTCCAACCTTTACCACCAAAACAATTCAACATCCAGTTTAGCTCCTCTGTCCAATCCCCAGGATTGTGAGGGATACCAATCCAGTGAAGTATTTCAACCCAAATCTTCCTCAAAGTAGCACAATCAAAAAATAGATGGTCAATGGTTTCCGCCGCAGGGCAAAAGACACATTGGTTATTATCACCATGCCAAATCGATTCAATCTAACTTTTGTGGCTAGCTTTCCATGACAGGTCATTCAGAGAGTATATATGGCACGGGGTCTAGCTCTATTGTGGAGAATTAACCTGGACCAGGCAACCTTAGGTGTGGCAGGCAATAAGTTCGCATACACTCGCCTACCAATGAATCTCCCTGCTTGCACCATCTCATTCCAAACCCTCTGCATAGTGCCAATATTTTCCCTCTGCATCAGAATAGTTTTAAAAATAATTGAATCTGAATTTTTAACCATTCTATACATAACATCCTCATTCTTCAGGTAATAAGCATGAATCCACCGAACCCACAGATCATCGGTTTTCATGGATATATTCCAGAGTAACTTCATCATAAACATGCTATTCCAAACCACTAGATCCAGCACATTCAAACCTCCTTTTGCCGCAGGTTTACAAATCTTATCCCACGCAATCAGACTCTTTCGACTAATGCTGTTACCTCCTGTCCAGAGAAAGGTTCTACAAATGGCATTGATTCTTCTAATCACAGTTTTAGGGAAGCAAACACACTGCATCCAATATGAGGTAATAGCATACAACACAGATTTGATCAACTGTAATCTACCGGCATAGCTAAGAAGTCGAGAACTCCAATGCGTAATCCTACATAACATATTTAATTTGTTTCTAATATATTATTTTTGTTTCTTATATATATATATATATATATATATATATATATATATATATATATATATATATATATATATATATATATATATATATATATATATATATATATATATATATATATATATATTAAAAAACTGTTTTATTATTTAAAAAACTGTTTTATTATATTTATTAATTTAATAATATATTATGTTTACTAAAATAATATATATTAAAAAACTGTTTTATTATTTAAAAAACTGTTTTGTATATATATTATAATTTAATAATATATTATGTTTACTAAAATAATATATATTAAAAAACTGTTTTATTATTTAAAAAACTATTTTATTATATTCATTAATTTAATAATATATTATGTTTACTAAAATAATATATATTAAAAAACTGTTTTATTATTTAAAAAACTGTTTTATTATATTCATTATATATTTAAAAAACTGTTTTATTATATTCATTATACATTCATTATATATTTTAAACTGTTTTTTTTATATTCATAATATATATTCACTATACATTTAAAAAACTGTTCTATTAAAATAATATATATTATGTTTACTAAATTATAATAACTATTTAATAATATATATTATTCTATATAATAGGTATAATTGATTTACTAAAAAATCACACAACATATTATTTAATTAAAAATCTGTTTTAAAAATCACACAACATAATATAAATTTTTTTTTTAATTTGTTTCAAATAAATAATCTATTTTTTTAATTAAAAATCACATAACATATTATTTTTATTTTTGCTTTCTAAAATTTAAAATTTAAAACAACAACAAACCCAATATACAATACATTATATCACAATATTTCTAAAATCTAAAATTTTTAACCTAACTATCAAAGTTTTCAACAACAATACAATACATAATAAATATAAACAAATTAAAATTCATAAATACCTCTAATTAAGCTTCCAATATAGAGGACTTCCTATAAAATTGTTAGATCTGAAGAAAAAAAATTAACAGTTAATAATAAAAAAATATAAATAAACTTAACATGAAACAATCACAAAACCAACTAATATATCACCTTAAATTTTTGGCAAATGAAACTTTGTTGAACAACACCAACACAGCAGCCGAAGAACAAAGGGGAAGAAAGGGAAGAAGAAGGAGATGAGGAAGGTTTGCAAGAGACGAGGACTTGAAGAAATTATGAGATTTGATTTATATAAGGGAGGTTGCGACGTGGCTTTAACATCAGAAAGTTGCGACGTGCAGGCCAGGTCGGTAGTTTGCGACGTGCAAACCCTTCAGAAATTAGCGATGTGAAATGAAGGTCGCAACCTCATTTTTATTAATTGCCAACTTATCTCATAAAGCTTGCGACGTGGCATTCACATCAGAAACTTGCGACGTGAATTAAAGACGGAACATGCCCCCAATATTAAATTAGTACCGTTGGTCCACTAAATACCAACCCAACGGGAATATAATTATTGATGTACGTGGGTTGCGAAGTGAAATTCATGTGGGTATTTTGTGACCTTTTTGAATTTTAACTTCCACGTGGTTAACACGCCACAACCGAATTTGTGGAAAATTCAAATTCCATCTCCCTTAAAATTCCAAATTTTCGTTCCAGAGTTTGGCATAGCAAAGTTTATTAATAAAAAATGTTAGTGACGTGGTTATCACTTGGCAACACAATTTTTTACCACGTGTTTACCACGTCACTAATTCACTAGGGAAATACAGCAATTTCTTGTAGTGTTAAAGTGTTTGTTTTTGTTTACTTATTTTGATTAATGATAAGTAAAGTTATGTTCGTCATTATGTTCTTGCTCACAAATAATCGATATGTTCTTTTTACTTTTGGTTCAGTTCTATTGTGTTTTTCTTATCAGCTAAGTTTTATTGCTTTGTACTAAAGATTCTTTAATCGTCAATTATGAAAAGTTTGGATTAACTATATAGATTTGTTTTATAAACTGCCTGTGTTTATTATCTCAAGTTAAGTTAGAAGAGACTAAATACAAGGAAAGGTATTATACTAAAAAGTTTGGTGCATCAAATCCAGAAGAGATTGAGAGGATTAAGAAAGATATAATAAGTTGAGCCATATATTCTTGGAATTGTTTACTGTTCTTTTACACATATTGACAATGGGAAATTTTATCCCATACCCCTACAATTATACTCATACCTCTACACTAAAATTTTTTGGACCAAAATATCCTCGTATAAAAAGTTATAATTTTTTGGTTTGTCAACCGGAAGACTTTTTGGAAGTATTCCGGTTCACATTTTTTGGTTTGTTTACCGGAAGACTTTTTGAAAGTCTTCCGGTTCACATTTTTTTTGGTTTGTTTACCGAAAGACTTCCAAAAAGTTAATAATAGAAAGTTATTAAGTAAATTACACAATAAAATAAGGGTAAAAATGGTAGAAAAATAGGCCACACCAAAACAAAGCATTCCCTTTATATATTGTATAGATATTAAAAATAAAATTAATATTTATATGCGAAAAAACTATATTTTACTATAAATATAAATAAAAATATATTTTTTTAAATAATAAATTTTATTGATTAAATAATTTTATATTTCTGTTTTTTCATTCTTATATTACTACTGTTTGTTATTAATATTTTTGATAATGTTGATCAATTATTGAAAACAAATTTTAAACAAATCATAACTTATGGTTTTCTTAAAACACAAAATTAAAATAATTATAACGGGACATAAAGTTATTGATCAAAATATTAAATAATAATAGAATTAAATGTATTTGAAAAAATATATTTTTATTGTCATTAATATTTTTGATGATGTTGATCAACTATAGAAAACAAATTCTGAATAAATCATAACTTATCATTTTTTTAATAACCAAATAAAAATAACGGGGACATAAAATTATTGATCAAAATATTAAATAATAATAAGAACAAATCGATTCAATTTTTAATTACATTTAAATTATAAAATTAAATATATTCAAAAATATGTATTTTTATTATCATTAATATTTTTGATGACGTTGATCAACTATAAAAAAAACAAATTTTGAACAAATCATAACTTATTATTTTTTTTAAAGTAACACAAAATTAAAATAATTATAATAGAAATATGAAATTATTGATCAAAATATTAAATAATAATAAGTACAAATTTACTATTGATTTAATTGTTCTATTATTAATTAATTATTAACTAATCTTTAACTTAAGCGAGGATATTAAACGTGATGGAGAAATTTTAGAAGTAGTGTGTTGGGTGGAAAGCGATGAAAGAGCACCCACGTTCGCT